TCTCAGGGCTGTCCCCTTGATACTGGCACTTCCTGTAACCAATTTCTATAGTAGATTAGCTAAGAGAAACAAGCCTTAAAATGTCTTAAAGTATGCAATCATGTCTAACTTGGCAAACCAAAATTCTAATGTGGCAAGCCAATATGTGTTAGTTCAATGTTAAATTAATGACCAGACTGAGAAGCATATTAATTCAGGGGTCATAATTACAAGCCAGTGATCGTTAATAACATTCTCTGGGTCAACAGTATTTACATAAGCGAAGGGAGAAGGGAGTTTCCATTCATTGATTACTTCTTAGGGCCTCCTGTATGAAGAGTATCCACAATATATTTATTCCCATTGTGCTGTTGTTAAATCAAAATTTAACTTTATAAAATTGTGAAAGGTTTTTAATTGCTGTGCTTTGATTTTATTACATATTTCTGTTCATAGTATAGTTCTATTCTATGTAACATTATATTCTAATATTATAATATGTTAGAGAGCTAGTTTCCCTATATTCAAGGGAAGGAAATTTGGCTACAGAGAGATGGAACATCTGGTTCAATGCCATAGCATCTATGAACAGGCAGTAGAATCCAGACCTTTAGACTCATGAGTTAATGCTCATTTCACTACCCCAGACCATCATATTTATGTGATATAAATTTCTTAATTAGGAATGCAAATCAAGAGCAAAATTTCTAGGTACAAAAGTAGCATTAAGAAAAAAAAAATCTCTTTTACAATGATTTTTATATCTGAACAGAAACAGTTTTATGTTTACAAATCATATACTTTTTAGATATTTTTTTACTGTTACCAACTGATTATATAAAAATGCACACTGTGAAAGGAAACAAAAATTTGATCCTAGCTCTAGGAAATAAATGTGCCACTCAAATAATTTTCTAATAAAACCAGAGCAAATTACATGCTATTTAATAACTGTTTAGACTCATTTAAATTAGTTAGATCACCTTCACAAGTAGGAGGGTGCTTTTAATTTCAATGCAACACAAGAAACAGGCCCTGACGGGTTAGGTTACTTTATGTTAATGTAAGATGTTGCTGCCATTGTATTGTAACCAGCAATCACACCTATTCTAGAAGGAAGACTGTGCTGGTGTCAAATTGGCTGTACCTTTTAGAGAATTCCCCTGCTCCTAGAACTGGGTCATTCTGGGGAACAGAGGATGTGGAGTGAATTTTCCAATGGAAGCCATAGGTGCTCCCTAGATTGAGCTGTGGCCCGTCCTAAGTCTTGTTTTAGAGATAGCTGGAAATGGTCCCAGTCCTCCAGAGAATTCTATATAGGGAAGAGAAAAGTGTTCTTTCATTCCTTCAAAAATATTTCTTGAGCCATTGATCGCTATGTAGTATTAGTGTTCTAGTTACTGAGGCATGGCATAACAAACATTTAATCCCACAACCACCCTTCCAGGTAAGTGGATTCTGCTTCTACAGATAAGGAATTTGAGGTACAGAGAGGTTAAATAACTTGTCCCCTAGTTCCCTGACCTAAACAGCAGAGGCTAGATTTGTAATCTTGTCTGTCTGGGTCCAATGTCTGTCTGTGTTATTTCTATCATGCCTGATTTTATTTATTTATATATATTCTATAAATAAAATTGTTGAGATATAGTTATCCTAAAATTACTGGTTGTTTATTTAAAGTTAAAATTTAACTGAATGAACTGAATTCAGTCTGGTAACTCTAGGGGAATAGTCTCCTTATAGCCAGCAAGGAGGCAACAGGATGTCATCACGTTGCTCCAGTTTTTTCTCATAGTGGATTAGGACCCACTGATATGAACTCATTTTACCTTAATGACCTATTTAAAGAACCTGTCTCCAAATAGAGTCACATTCTAAGGTTCTGTGGGTTAGGACTTTAACATATGCACGAGGGGTTCACAATTTAGCCCATAACAAGGTCTTACTGGATGAGAGCAGGCCCGAAATCCAATGACTGAAGTGAAGATACTGAAACCAAGAGTCCTTATGACCTTGACTAAATTTAGCTTTAAAACCCAGCTCTAGAAATCATCCCAGCTATCTATCCATCATCTATCATCTGTCTTTCAATCATCTATCTATCATTTATCTATGAATCATCATCTATCTATATCTTTCATCTATCATCATCTATTATCTATTTATCTATTATCTATCTATCGATCATTATCATCTATCTATCATCATCCATCTATTTATCCATTTATCTATCCCCCAGGAGACCTGGCTTCCTCACCCACCCATTAGCAAACACTGAAGCAGCGGAAAACAGTAGCCCAGAACTAACTAATGGTCACAGGGTCTGGACCTCTGGAAGGCTAAAGATAACATCTTGACTTGTTATATTTCAGCTTCTGAGCCCTAAGGTAGAATGACTTCCTGGCTGCTTTCTCATGAAACCAGATAGCAGGATGCTGGAACAGATCTCAGTACTGTCCATAAGACATGAATAAAGGACTTATTACCTCACCTTTGACCAATCAGCTCCCCACATGACCCTGAACCCCTAACCCACGGAGTCTTGTGGTTTTGCCCTATATAATCTGTAACCTACACGCCATCGGGGAGTTGAGTTTTGAACATTAGCTTCCCCTGTTCTTTTGGGTGGCACCATTTATAATAAAATAGCCAATTCTTCTCCACTGTAATCCTCAGTGTTTAGTGTTTGGCTCTCTTAATGTCAGGTGGAGAAAATCTTTCTGTTTAATAATAATACTAAAGTAAAGGAATGCCAATCATTGCTGGCAACCACCATTGGCTAGGAATGAGGCATGAAACGGATTCTCCCTCAAAACCTCCAGAAGGAATCATCCTTACTGACACTTTGACTTTGAACTTCTGGCCTCCAGAATAGAGAGAAAATACATTTCTGTCATCCGTGTGGTACTTTGCTACAGCAGCACTGGGAAATGAATATAATTGCCTTGCTTAGTAGTGATTTGCAGGGGGTACTGGCAGGCTGGCCTCTGGCAAAAGAAGATCCTGAGTCCAAGGACTATGGAGAAGTGGGAGTTTGGTAGAGCAGGACGAGGTAGGGAACCAGCCTGTGCAAAGGCACAGAGGCTTGCCACAGCCTGTCTGGATTGGAGAAATGCTAGTAACCGAAGTCTTTGAACTAACTTTAAAAACAGTTTGCAAAGATCTGAATTTAATTGCTAAAAGAGATTTTAGAAATTGCCATTGCACTCCTCATTTTAGTCTGGAAAGGTTATGTGGCTAATCTAACATCACAGAACAGATTCGTCAAAGAATTCAGACACGTAGAAAATTTATCAGCCAAGTATAGCTTTCAACACGCAAGTAAAAGAGATAGCCTCGAGGCCTGTCGCTCCCAAATACTCAGATGCTGCTGTCTCCTGAAGGAGACCTGCTACCCCCGGTCCCTGCAGGGGGGCAACAGTAGAGGTGAGGGGGGTAAGGGTGAAGCGGTTGGGTGTAGTGGGGGTCACAGTGATGAGGGGGTGGGGGAGAGAGGAGGCTAGCAGCGCGTGGGCAGCACGCATCCCACAGTTGGCACCTCTCCCCGAACAGCTATATCCCTGCCAGAAATCCAGCCCCAGGGCAGTCACAGACCACAGCCAGCCTGACTGCCCATGCTCTCCAGGCTTCCCACAGCCTCGTGCCAGGGTTACTGGGGACAAAGATGCTTCTGTACACTAGCCTGCTTCCCCTAAAGGAAAGCGTTTGCAGCCCTGGATCCTAGCACTGTAGTGGTCCAGGAGTCTCCTCCACTGGACCGGCTGTGCCTAGCCCGGGCCTCTGCATGGGGGGCCGCTGCCTTGGGAGCCCAGTCTACTCTGGACAAAGGCAATCCTGACTTGTTTTTGTTTTATTTTGTTGATGATGGGAACTGGGGATTTGGGCAAAGGATGTTGAAATTGTAAAAGAATATCTCCCTCATTATTTTTTCTCAGAAGATGTCAGAATTTTCCCAGGGGAGGGAACTGAATACTGGCAGGCAGCAGCCCTGAGTTTAAATTAAGCTTTTGCTGTATGACTTTCAAACTCACTTAACTTTTATTTTTAGTTTTGTTTAGTTTGTAAACTTTGTAAAATGAGGACAGCAATAACACTACAAGGAGAATGTAAGACTTATATAAGGATGCACGTGAACATACTATGTAAACAAATATACTATACGAACACATAGTAGGCACTAGATAAATATTTCTTCTGAAATCATCTAAAACAACCCCTCCAATTTAAGATAGAAGAGAATGAGAAGGCACCAAAAGGTGACATTACTAAGCACACAAGCTAGAGAATGAGAAGCTAAGCTTGGAGCTTAGGCTTCCCATTACCTGTCTAGCGTTCTTCCCATCTCCCGCTGCTCTCTTTGTTAATTAAAATCCAGTGCACTCACCCATCTGGAGTAGGACGGTCCAATTCAAATCCCTGGCTTCGTCATTTCTGGAGTTGAGAAATCTTGGAAAAATCTCAACTTCTAAGTAGTTTTGGCATTTATTCTACAAGGATTTCAGTGGCTGTGATGTACCTACCAGTTTCTACAGAGGGCCCAGGGGACACAAAAACGAGCGGAACATGATCCCTGACCTCAGGGAATTCATAGTCTTCCTAGAAAGCCTCATACACAATACCAGCAAAACAATTAATCAATTCGTTGATGATAGAGTATGGTGAAATGAAGTTCTTCTGTTTAATGTTGGGGGTGTCCCGTCCAGCCCCCTTTGTCTAAGGAGCAGTCACCACCCTAAGCCACACTCTTACTTCCACAGCATTTGCTTCTTTATCACACCCCATGAAGAATGTTCAGATTGATTTTCACTGTCTTCTGTGCTTTCCTCAAATCATGCCACAGCAACC